AAAAAAAAAAAAAAAAAAAAAAATCTAGATGATGGGTTGATAGGTGTTGCAAATCACCATGGCACATGTTTACCTATGTAACAAACCTGCACATTCTGCACATGTATCCCGGAACTTAAAGTAAAAAAAAAAAAGTGACAAACTAGGATATTTGGTGGAAGAACTATCTAAGCAGCAAAGTGCTCAGGGTGCTACTCTTACCTGCTTATAGTAAAAATGCAAACAGAGAAACTATTTTAAGATGGAATTTCTTAATAAAAAAGAGAAGCAAAATGTAGAGATTTGGAAAATTCTCAGCCTCGCCATGTGAAGAATAAAAAAGCATGTTGAGAGAGAAAACCAAAGGTGTGGGCAAGTGACTGTTTGATAAGGAGCTTAATACGGATAGGAAGGAGGTCAGGTGGTATTCATCAAGACAATGACAGAACGACCCCAAAGGCATTCTGGAGGTCTTTGTGGCTACCGTGCCCATCGCATGCTTAGAGTGCTAGGGCCTTGGAAGCAGAATGGTATTGGAGGAGGGCCCAGGACACCTGTGGGACCTCAGGATTTCCTGCCCAGGGGCGTTTAAAATCTTTGCTATGCAGGCCTAGGTGCAGTTGGGGCTACTGCCCCAGAAGGTACAAGCCATAAACCTTGGCAGCGTCCACGTGGCGCTAACTCTGCAGGGATGCACAGTGCATGAGCATGAAGGCATGGCTACCTCCATCTGGATTTGAAAGCATCCCTCAGACAACCTCAAGGCCCAGGCAAAGACTTGCTGCAGGAACAACGCTGCCACAGAGATTGGGCATAAGGTCAATACCTAGTAGAGTTGTGGGGGCAGGACCACCCCTGAGACCTTAGACCCGTAGAGTCATGAATTTGCAATGCCAGCCATAGGAAAGCTGTGTAGGCTGGGCCTGGCAAAACTGTGGGAATGGGGCTGCTTAGGGACTTGGGGGCCCAATTCCTGTGGGAAGTGTGTCTGGAAGGGAAGACATGAGTCAAAGATTATTCTCCAGTCTTAGGATTTAATGTTGTTTGCTTTGGGTTTTATACGACTTGGGGCCTGTTACTCCTTCTTTCTTATTGCTCCAGTTTGGAATAGAAATGTCTGTCCTATACCTGTTCCACTACTGTATTTTGGAAGCTTGTGAGTTGGCTTCTTAGGCTTACAGCTGGAGGGAAATTAGCCTCAGGATGCATTGAGTCTCACTCGTATGTGATTTAGATGTGGCTGTGGACCTTAGACTTTTGAGTTGATGCCGGAATGAGTTAAGACTTTGGGGGCTGTTGGTATGAAATGAGTGTTTTGCATGTGGAAAGGACAGGACTTTGTGGGGGCCAGATGCAGAATGTTATGGTTTGAATGTGTCCCTTCTAAAATTCATGTTGAAGCTTAACCAGGAGTGCTGGCAAATGCCTGTAGTTCTAGCTAGTTGGGAGGCTAAAGCAGGATGATTCCTTGGGCCCAGGAGGTGGACGCTGCAGTGAGCTATGATTACACTACTGCATTCTAGTCTGGACAACAGAGGGGGATCCTGTCTCTAAAAAACAAAAACAACCCCCCCCCACACACACATGGAATTCGTGTTGAAACTTAATGGCACTATTAATGTGACATTATTAAAAGGTGGGGACTTCAGGAAGTAATTAAGTTATGAGGGTGGAGCCCTCATGAATGGAGTTAGATGCCCTTATCTAAGGGCTTGACAGAGAGAGTTTATCCTTTTTACCCTTCTGCCTTCTGCCGTGTGAGGACGCAGCAATCCTCCACTCTGGAGGACTCAGCATTCAAGACACCTGACCCTCCCCGGACAAGGAACCTGCTAGCACCTCAGTCTTGGACTTCCTAGCCTGCAGAACTGTGAGACATAAATTTCTGTTCTTTACAAATCAAATACCTGATCTGTGGTATTTGATTACAGCAGCAAAATAGATCAAGATAATGTTTTTACTTGCATCTGATGTCTTATAGACAACAGATATTGCTGGGTCTTGATCATTCTGACAATCTCTTATCATTAAATTGGTATATTCAGAGACCATTGCGATTTAAAGTGATTATTGATATAGCTGGGTTTATATCTGCCGTGTTTGTAACTGTTTTCTGTTGTTGCTTTTGTCCTTTGTTCCTATTTTTGTCTTCTGCTCTTTTATCTGCCTTTTGTGGTTTGAAATAAACATTTCATATGATTCAATTTTCTCTCGTTTCTTAGCATATTAGTCGTACTTATTTTTTTACATTTCTTAGTGGTCAGAAGAGACACGTATAACTAATCCAAATCCACCTTCAAATAATGCTGTACTGCTTCATCAGTAGGATGGGTACCTCATAATAACAAAATAATACTAGTTTCTCCCTCTAATCCCTTGTATTGCTGTCATTTATTTCATTTGTACATAAGCATATGAATATATATATATATACACACATATAAGCACACATTGTTATTTCTTTTCTTTTCTTCCTTTTTTTTTTATTTGAGATGGAGTCTCACTCTGTCTCCCAGGCTGTAGTGCAGTGGTGCGATCTGGGCTCATTGCAACCTCCACCTCCCAGGTTCAAGTGATTCTCTTGCCTCAGCCTCCTGAGTAGCTGGGATTACAGGCACCTGCCACCATGCTTGGCTAATTTTTGTATTTTTAGTACAGAACGGGGTTTCACCAAGTTGGCCAGGTTGGTCTCAAACTCCTGTCCTCAGATGATCCTCCCACCACTGCCTCCCAAAGTGCTGGGATTACAGGCGAGAGCCACTGCACCTGGCTCTACTGTTGCTGTTTTTATTTTGAACAAACTGTCATCGGTTAGAACAATTAATATAAAATGAAAAGTTTTTGTTTTACCTTCACTTATTCCTTCTCTGGTGTTCTTTCTTCCTTTAAGTAGATGCAAGTTTTTTTTTTTTTTGGGACGGAGTTTCACTTATGTTACCCAGGCTGGAGTGCAATGGCGCGATCTCGGCTCACCGCAACCTCCGCCTCCTGGGTTCAGGCAATTCTCCTGCCTCAGCCTCCTGAGTCGCTGGGATTACAGGCACGCGCCACCATGCCCAGCTAATTTTTTGTATTTTTAGTAGAGACGGAGTTTCACCATGTTGACCAGGATGGTCTCGATCTCTTGACCTCGTGATCCACCCGCCTCGGCCTCCCAAAGTGCTGGGATTACAGGCTAGAGCCACTGCGCCCGGCCCAGATGCAAGTTTTTGACCTATCATTTTGCTTTTCTCTAAAGAATTTCTTTTAACATTTCTGGCAAGGCCAGTCCAATGGCAACAAATTCTCTTATTTTTTGTTTACCTGAGACAGTCTTTACTTCACCTTCATTTTTTTTTTTTTTTTTTCCTTTTTTTGAGATGGAGTTTCGCTCTTGTTACCCAGGCTATAGTGCAGTGGCGCGATCTCGGCTCATTGCAACCTCCAACTCCCAGGTTCAAGCAATTCTCCTGCCTCAGCCTCCCGAGTAGCTGGGACTACAGGTGTGCACCATCATGCCCAGCTAATTTTTGTATTTTTTTTCAGTAGAGATGGGCTTACTTCACCTTCATTTTTAAAGGATAATTTCACATGGTACAGATTTCTAAGACAGTGGTTTTTATCTCTCAACACTTTAAATATTTTACTCCCACCTGGGCTCTTCTCTACAAAAGAGAGACCCTGTCTCTACAAAAATAAGATAAAATAATTAGCCAGGTGTGGTGGTGTGTGCCTGTGGTTCTAGCCTCAGGAGGCAGGATGATTGCTTGAGCCCGGGACATGAGCCATGATTATGCCACGGTATTCCAGCCTGGGCGATATAAGACCCTGCCTCAAAAACAAACAAACAAGCAAAAACAAACATATACATATACATATGTGAAACCAAACATATATACGTAAGGGTTTTTATTCTCATCTCTGGCTTCTTTCAATCTTTTTTCTTTTTTTTTTGTGACGGAGTTTTGCTCTTGTTGCCCAGGCTGGAGTGCAATGGCAGGATCATGGCTCATTGCAACCTCCGCCTCACGGGCTCAAGTGATTCTCCTGCTTCAGCCTCCCGAGTAGCTGGGATTATAGGCACCCGCCACCACGCCTGGCTAATGTTTTGTATTTTTAGTAGAAAGGGGTTTCACCATGTTAGCCAGGCGGGTCTCAAACTCCTGACCTCAGGTGATCCTCCCGCCTTGGCCTCCCAAAGTGCTGGAATTACAGGTGTGAGCCACCGTGCCTGGCCCAATATCTTTTTTTTTTTGTCTTAGATTTTTTTTGCAGTTTTATATATGA